GCCGCACGCGGCGCAGCAAATCCTCGGCCCACTTTTACTTGGGCGGCTCCTTGATCGCCAGCCATGTGCGCACACAGAAGAGCGTGGCGCTGAGCTCTGGCGAGGCAGAGTTCATTGCCATGGTGGGGGGCGCCGCGGAGATGGTGTTCCTCAAGGATTGCCTGGACTTCATCCTGAAGGGCATGATCGTCATCGAGGCCAAGGTCCGCAGTGATTCCTCGGCAGCGCAAGGCATGGCCCAGCGCATTGGCACAGGCCGCGTCAGGCATCTCGCCTGCGGGGTCATGTGGCTGCAAGCTAGCGTGAAGGAGAAAATCCTGAAGGTTGGAGCGATCAGTGGAAGCAAGAATCCCGCTGATTTGGGCACCAAAGTTCTCACGGGGCCCAAGGTCAGACAGCTCCTGTTCTACGCGGGCGCCAGGCTCGAGGACAACACCGCCTACGGCCAGAGTGAAGCGGAGGAGGCCGAGCACAAGGCAATGATCAACCGGATTGTGACGAGCGGCGTGAAGAAGCCGGCCTTCAAGAATGTCCTCCCGATCCTCCTGGTTCTCTCGCAGATCGTTAGTTCTGAGGGTGCAGGGTTTGAGGGCTTGGGCTTAAGCGTGGCTATGGCCAGCCTCGAGGATGCGATGTTTGAGGCTAGCTATATGGCCTCGGCAGTTTTGATCAAGGTCGTCATTTTGATGGCCATTCCCTTCGGCATCATGGCCCTCATTTGGCAGATGGGGAAGCGAGCTCTCACAAGGCCTGAGTCGGAGGCCAAAGTGACAACACGTGAAGTTGCAGTTCAAGCAAGGGTGAGCTCCAGGGAGGAGCAAGCCTGGGCAGACGAGTACACGACGCGCGTGAACTACCTCAACGAGCTCCTCTCCGAGGAGCGCCGCAAGGTCGATGCAATGGAACGAGCTCTTCGTGAAGCCCGTGAAGAGCTGAGAGGGGTGAGGGCTCAGGGATCACAGATGCCGGCCAGGCTCTCCATAGCGGTCAGCCGTGGCACAGTGTACCATCGTCCAAGTTGCCATTGTCTTAGGTCTAGTGGGAATGTTAAGTCATTTGTCCCCTGTCAGTACTGTTTTCCGAGAGCAACTGGGTGACGATGAAGATTTTCAGGGAAAAGCTTCCTCGAGGCGGGGTGTTAGTACAGTTGCACTCCCGAGGGGCATGTTCCGCATATGAAAGCATTGCTTCTGACATGCATACCGCAGCCCTCAAATCACGTGGGAAAAGAAGTTCAAATATGTAACTACATGTATATATATATACACACATGTAGGTATGTGTGTATGCATATGTATATGAGTCCGGATCTCTGTCACACGGCGTGACTACGACGTGGAACGCGAGGTGGCGGTGTTTTTCGAAGCCGTGTTCACAACGTCCATCCGTGCGTTTTTGACCGCATCGCCAATGAGTCCGAGCAAGGCCTGCGACACTTGCGGAACTTGCTAGGCTTTGTCTCAGAGCCCCAAATCCTAAACACCAAACCGTAGACCTCTAAACCCTAAAACCTGAATCCTCCCAGGTCTTTCTGGCCGTGGTGCCATTTTCCGCTCGCTTCGACCTGTTGCGGGACGCCACGCTCGTGGGAGCCTTCGTCCAGGCCATATGACACAAAAAGCCACAAGATAACATAGCATGCAATACTATACAATAATGTTACAAAGATGCTGTAACATACTGGAATATATTAGAAGACACGATAATATGCTTTCAGAGCTGTGCAGGTGGGCTCTACCTGGACGATCCTCGGTGCATCTGGCATCATCTGCAGCACGCTCCTGGCGTCGCTGGTCTCGCTCCCTGGCCCTGTCCTGCAGTGAGACAGTTTTTTTGGTTGGGTGTCTGTCCATCCACAGAGTACACTCAATTCTAAGTAAAGACACCGAAGCCCTAAACCCCAAAACCACCAAAATCCGAAGCCATAAACCCCAAAACCACCCCAAAACCACCAAAACCCTCCTTGAAACCTGACCCCCCCGACCCAAAACCCAAACCCAAGCAACCCGAAGGTACGGGGACCGGGCAGACTGCTTGGATGTTCGACGCTGCTTCTGGGCAGAAGGCGAGCGCCCGCCGCCACGTCTCGAGGACAGGGTATGATTGTATATTATGGAATATTGTCATAGTATAGTATAGTACAGTACTGTACAGTACAGTATAGTCTGGTATATCATCGTATTTCCGTAAATTATGTGGTATACTATGGGATATGCGCTCGGGCCTTTGAGATGCTTTCGTGGCGAGGATACCCTGGACAAGGACCTCCTACGATCCTTGCAGGGGGAGGATGAGCAGACCGAGTCCTCCAACTGCATATATGTAGAAGTCCGCAACGACAGCTCGGAGGACCCGAGACAGCTGTCAGCTGGAAGTGCAGGGATGCTTCGGTTTCTTTCATGAGCTGCGCATGTGCGTACCTCTGCATTGCAGGATGAGACCTTGCCGGCAGATAGCCCCACACTGACCGCAGACGTCGAGCATTCAGAGACTACCCAGGATTGGGTTGCAGTTTCGTGCGGAAACCTCGCAGTTCAGAGTCTGACAAGGGTTCGATTCCGTCGGATTCACGCTGCAGCGCCCTCCATATTGTGCTACATGCTTCCAAAATATAGTATCTCTTGTTTGTCCCTGGAATCCTTGGGCTTAGAAAGCACGATACTCCAGCGTTTGCAGTCGGTTTCTACACCTCCGTGTGGCTTGGCCTTCGAGCATCACTACTGCAACAAAAGTATAGTTTTAGGGATCTGCCTTGAGTGCTCTTAGGAATCATTTTTCATGTTTACCAACCTCAAACCCTGCAGGCTCTCAATGATTATTATTATTATTCTGGTTGTTGTTGTTGGTGGTGGTAGTAGCAGTAGTAG